GCAAATAATTTAAAATCCAGAAACAATGAATATAAATTTGTTCTGTTTTAAATTCAATTTAAAGTTATTTTTCATTTTTAATAAAAGTTTTGGTGTGAATGAAAATTTTTACAGCTTTCAACCATCGGATCTTTCTTACTTTATGCTTACGATGCATATGGACGATGGGCTTGTAATTCTGCCGTATAAATGATTTCTTATACAAATAATGAATTAATAAGTACAGTAAGTTCATTATAATTAGGCTGTGATAATTTGTTTCAAACTTATTTTACTGATTTAAAATTTTTGTAATAAATTATAAGTAAAAGTTAATGAGTATGGTGCTGTCAAATTTTGCACGATTAATTCAAAAACATATATATATTTGTGTTTCTTGAGAAAATAGCAATTACAGTTTTTAAATTAAATATCAAATTTTATAAATTGTATTAAATAAAAAAATCTTTAAAAAAATAACATTTTTTGTCAAAATGTCAAATATTTATTTCGTAGCCAGTTTGAAATTAGAAAAATTCTTTTACCTTAATTTTTCAAAAATAATTATAAAAATTATTTTTTTAAAAATTAAAGTAAAAAAATTAAAAAATTTCAAATAGACACAATAAGAAACAACGTAATTTCACGTGTTTTCTTCAACCTGTCTAAGTTTTTTAAACAATCACTTCATCAAATCAAACTTGTATTCCATGTGCTTGAATAATTTTTATTTTCAAACATAAATTATTTGCAAATAAATTATTCTAATAACTGTCATTTCCTTTCAGAATGATGAATTATCAGTTATTTACTGGCTTAGACTTCATAATAATATTTCCACTTGCACCGTCATCGTCATCTTCTGCAATAAGCAACTTGAATTGGCGCTATTATTGTAAATGCCACAATACTAAGTAAACAATAGATGAAAATTTGCATAAATAAACAATCAAACGTTTTTAATAAATACTATTTTGGTTCTACACATAGTGAAGTTATTTTATTTAATATTCTTCATTTATGTATTATATTCAAATAGCAATTATATCGTTGCGCATTTCTAAAATTACTCAGAATTTATTAACTTCTGTTTTAATTGGATGAAAAAATCAATCTTGCGGGCCATATTATCACTTTTCATTGTTATTATTAGTTATTATTGTTACTACTGTAACCATTCTCATAATTATTAATGACTGTTATTGTATTAATGAATAAAATATTAACCTGAAATGTATGCACAAACAACTAAAGTTTGTGGGAAAACGCTTTGTCATTAATAATTTTAGCTTTTGAATTTATTAATTTTTACTCAAAGATCCTTTTTCACTAATACATTATTGAATACTAACCATTCTGAGCAAATGAAAACGATGCCAAAGCATTTCGGCGCTGACTTGAAGTTGCTTCCAAATTTGTTACGTGGCGTCGTGCTTGCATGCGTACCTTCAAAAAATGTTCCACTAGTAAATGTCAAAAAACTAAAATAAAAAACTTTAAAGGAGAGTTAAATCAAAAGTAATTACTAAAAAATTGTTACTAGTAACACTGTCAAAAATATTAATTGAAAGAAATTTTAGTAATGATAATAATAATAATAATTATTATTATTATTATAATCAAATCATATGATAAATTCAAATAGGATTTGTCTATTTGAAAGTTATTCTAAAATATATCATCCACAGTTAATAAATGATCAAGTATGAAAACTTATTATTCGCTAACTGATTTAAGTATGCTATATTTAATTTTTTCCAGTTGTAAGTGATATATTGTTTATTATGAAAACAATCTGGTGTCAAATTCTCTTATAAAAATGAAGAAACTTCATCCACTGATGGCTTCATATTTCATATTCATTAATTTATTGATATAGTGAATATTTATAGGGTAGTATTGCGGTATATTTTAGAAGTAAAAAATGAATTTACTTGTTCTACTGGCAATACACGTCTTCGTTGCCTTGGTAATTTTTCACGTGCTTGCGTATGCGAATAAAACATAGCAAAATTACTAACAATAACAGGTACTGGGAGTGCAATAGTTAGAACACCCATAACAGCACATAAACTTCCTACTAAACGTCCAAGTGTAGTTTGTGGCGTCATGTCACCGTAACCTACCTGGTAAACACGTGTTATATTTTTTTATTACGTCACCTTTTCACAAAACATATAAAAAATTAGGTAAAAACAATGCCGTTAATTAAAAACCTTATTATTGCTAATTAAATTTCATTACGAAAATGCTTATATTTTAAATTTCAAAAATTGATAAAATTTTACTTCACGACGTCTTGCTTTTCAGTATTATCATTTATTTTAGATTATCAATATGCAAATTTTATTTCGAGCATCTTATGCCAAATGTATGAGACAAAAAATATAGCAACCGTTGTCATTGTACAAATTGCCCACCAAAGGCCAAGAGGTATGCTAACAAATTGGTTATTAGGATTATTTTCCAATTTTTCAGCGTAGTATACTAAAGCTGCAAATATCACAATGCCAAGGATAAGAAAAAATACCTGTAATAAAAGTAGTCTTAGAAATAATCAGCAAGTCCTAACAATTTTGAAAAACGAGCTGTTATTCTTAAAATATTATCATCAATTTTTGACTAAGTATTGTAGACTTATTTTCACTAAAATATTAAGTTCGATTGTAAAATATAGCTTATTTTCGTTTATATTATTACCAGTTTAAGGCTTTGAGATAATTAGTTAATTGAAATAACTCCGTAATATACGTAATAAAATTGTAATTTTAATAAATGCATTTTGTGAGTTTATTAAAATACCAAATTTAAATAAATTACCACAAAAAGTACTCACTTCTAAGAAGTAAAAATGCGTAAATGATTTACAGAACAAGTTTTATTTCCAAGCATTTTTTAGCTCAAATTTATGTGAAAAATTTCAAAGCAAAAATGAATTGAAGAAAAGCTGCTGAAAGACTTACAAGTAGAATGAGTTCTTTTGCAGATGCACGAAAGGTATGAATGAGAATCTGTAAGCCTCGATGATGTTGCGTTAATTTGAACAAACGTAATATACGTATCATTGAAAGAAATTCTACAACATCTTTAGGCGCTTCTTCTTCGAAAACTCTTACTAATACAATATCAACGTAAAAACTAAGCGTTGCAATCTGAAATATAAAAGTTTTCCATTTAAAGAGAAAATTTAATTTTTACATATTAAATCTACTTAGTGTCATAGTTTTCAAGCTAAATATATCACATTTTATAATATTAATTTGTTAAATATGACTTTTTTTCTTCATAATATATAATGCTACAAGTACTAAACAGGACAGGATAACAATTATTGTTACTAGAATCAATTATGCAAATAACTTACTAAATCAATGTTATTGATAGGGGATCTGAGAAAATGCCATTTATTTGGACAAAATACAAATCTTACGAGTATTTCAAACGTGAACCATAAATTACACAAATATTCTATCTGAAAATTGAATAATAACCATTCTTTTCAATTCATTTACAATAATAGCAAATTCAATTTTTAATAATTTTACCAAACAGAAATTACTTTAAATTGTATTGTAACACTTCTAAATTACTACTAAAAAATAAAATACCAATACTAAAAACAACTTCCTCATTAATTATATGTTATGAAAAACATTATGATATATGAATTATAGTTATTATGAATATAATTACGCTACATACTAATTATTCTAAGATTCCAAATAAAATGCCTGATAGAGATATCAATCAAAAGGATATGATCTATGAAACATATAATAAACAACTAATAATTATATCACTGTATAAGAGATCTTTAATTTAGTGATCCTGTACTTGATAAAATCATTTATTAAATTACTTGGCTGAAAATATGATGAGGTTCGGTTGATGTTTTCTGAACTCTGATATAATTATCACTGATATTACTAAATGATAGTACGGCAATACGAAAAGCAGGATGTGTTTTCATGCAAAATGATACCATACTGATTATAATAAAACAGACTGATATCGCTGCAATTATCTGAAATAAATTAATAAATATGTTACTAAAAGAAAACATTTTAGTCAAATTTCAATTTGAATATTTCAGTACATGTTATTGGAGGTTATTTTTTACTAAAAATCTTTATTGAAATATATAATTAACAATTTTAATTATGATTTGAAATCAAATTAAGAATATAAAACATAAATGTATCTAATATTATTATTATTTTGATTTTGGCAAGTATTTTATAATTATAAGCAGTTTCGTATGTTAAAATTTACCTTAGCAGGCTGAGAAGAGTAAGGCTCATCAAATAATGCCCATACTTTTGATTTCGCCTTCATCCAGTAAGTAACTCTACCCTTATAATAATCTTCCTCCCAGCCAAACTTCTTCATCATACTGTGTTCACGTGTTTCGAGATCTTCATCCCGACTAAAATCTGTATCTAAAGTATCCAGAACTGCAAGTGTTGCTTGTGTATCTCTGCAAAACACTTTGCTTATTCTTTATTAAAAAATACGTGTGAAGCTTTTTTCAATGGCACTAAATTAAGTTCTGGTGTTTGAAAGCAACAAAGTTTTCAACAATTTGTTTTTTAAAATTTGGCTTCAAATTCAATTTTTGTTTTTATTGAAATCCAATTAATGAAGCGTTAAAATACTATATGATTATTAAATTTTTCACTCCGATCTTAATTAGTCAATTAAAGCTAAAATATTTTGACCTATGCTGAGTATAGGTCATCCAACAGCATGGCTCAACTTGATTTGCATCAAGACCCCAATATTCCAGTTCTTCCTCGAATAATGGACCACAGACATCGGTAGGGTAGTGCAATTTACCAGTGCGGTAATAATTTAATATCTATAAAAAATAAGTGGAACAATTAGGGCATAAAATGAGAAAAGGTTAATTGTTTATAAGTAAAAAAGAGAGTTAAAAAATGAATAAATATGAATTTTGAGGACAAAATTGTGCTCATTCTGCATAATAATGCTTTTGTTGTCAATTTTATGCACAAAAAAGTAAAAAGTAAATGTGGCATTTATTTTTGAGTTGAAAATGACTTTTTGGCATTTATTTTCAAAAATTTTAGCGAAGGCAATTTATGTTTTTTATGCAAAGATAAACACAATAATGATAATGATTAATGATTATTATTATTTATGACTGTATTAGAGAGATTAACAATAATAATTATTAATTATTATATTACAAGTAACTTTTATATCAGTTGTCAATTATAACTTTAGAAATGGCTTAGAAACTGGTCATTAGTTACCTTCTTGAAAATAATGTTATTAGTTACAGTATTATTAGATACTTAAATATCTCTCATTTAACATAACTTTGAGGAGAATAATTATAATTTACAAAGATTTTTAAAACTAATTTTTCATTACAGTAGTATATAACTTTGTTCCAAAAAAATATAACAAGCTAAAATATTTTTAATAAAATGCAACAGAATTAATTAAATCAACAAGTAATCTTTACATGAAAAAATATATTTTTATTTGTTCAAAACTTTTTTTACGTCATCATTTTATTAATAACTTGCTTTTTTTTGAAGATTTCCCTTAAAAAAATTGACGTAATAACTTTCAATTAAACGAGCTTTTAAAGTAACTTATTCCTTGAAAATGGCATTATTTTTTGTCGTGAAAAATCATTAATTCAAAAATAAAATGTTTTTTCGTTGTATAATTAAATGACTATTCGAAAACAGTGCAGAGTGATTTAAGAAGCAGATTAGTTTTAAAAAAAAATTAAGTGATAATAATAACGATAATTAAAAAAGTAATAATGATAACGATAATTATGATGACAAACTTGAGCAAATACGACTGGATGGCGGTCAAAAAAATATTCATTGAGCAACGGATCAAAGTTAGCGAGAGCTGGTGTTAGACGTGAAAGACGTGTAGCCGGAATTTTCTTTAACGTAGCCTGATGAGTTTCATGGCGTGTACCACCCACATTTAAGACAATGCGCTCATCCATTAACAGACTTTGAAAAAAATTTCATTTAAAACAACTTTTACATGTGTAAAATTATGCTAAAAACTTTGTACATCAATTACACAAATCTTTAATTAATTGCAGAATATTATACAAAATGTGCCTAGTTAGTACGAAAAATTGTAAAGTTAAAAGTCAGAGGAGGACTTTAGACACTTTGGATTCTCAAGGCAATAATATACTCAAAAGAGCAGAGTAGAAGTAAATTTGAGTCATAAAAAGCTTGAAATTGCAGAAAATAGAAATGGAAGTAAAAAATTTTGCAAGTTTTTGAAAGTATTAAAAAATTTATTAAAATGAAAGTGGCAGTTTAAAAGAAGCGTAAACTTTCTTAGTGAAATTGGCTTATAATTAACGATAATATATGATAGTGAATAGCCGAGAAAGAATCAAATATGAATAACTGATTACTTTTTCATATTTTCAAATCTACCATACAAATTGTACTACTAAACAATAATTTAATTATCCATTTGCTTGATTTAAATATTTAAATTTAAAATTTTTAGTTTATAAAAATGTTTACTGACAGTTTACAATTAGTGAGAATTAATTAAATAGCTTTAAAATCATGGACTAACAAAATCAATTTACAACAACGATTTTTATGAGATATATAAGAATGGATTTATCACGAAATAAACATTTGTTGTAATAATCACTTGACGACTTGTCATCTTGAAGTACT